TCAAAGTAAGTCACTCAGCAACAACATTCTAAACCCTTTTAATGTTTCCTGTTTTTAAAAAAAAAGCGGCACACTGCAGAACACCAGCAGCTATAGAGGAACAACAAATCCCAGCAATAATACATTAAACACCCTGTTGTATTTTTGTATTCCTCTATAGCTGCTGGTATTCTGCATTGCGCCGCTGTATAATGTACTATATCGCACACCACACTCTTTTTTATACTTCCACCTCTCCAAGCTGTGATGGAGTACAATCTCAATACAAACTAGTAGTCCATCACTGGAGCCTTTTTTTAAAAATCCGATTAACTGATTAATTGAACTTAATAATCGGCTAACTAATCGATTTTGAAAATAATCGTTAGCTGCAGCCCTAGAGTCCCCCATAGAGAGTCGCAGGTGGGCGGTGCAGGTTCTATTGTGTGCTCTGCAGGGTCACTCTTCAGGTAGACTGTGTAGGGTCTCAGCTATGTGTGGGGTCTAGGAAGAGCTCTGTCGGGTCTCAGGTGGGTCCTGAGTCCAGTGCGTTACTAAGTTCTGAGTCCAGTGCGTTACTAAGTTCTGAGTCCAGTGCGTTACTAAGTTCTGAGTCCAGAGCGTTACTAAGTCCAGTGGGTTACCAAGCCCAGAGTCCAATTCATATACTGTTCTGCATTGCTGTATAATGTATTTTGGGGATTTGTAGTCCCCCTGCAGCCCGGGGGGTGGGGGGGAGCAGTTTGTTCCTTAGGTCTGCCACTGTTTTTGCTGTTGGTAATAGTTAGTGTTAGTGATAAGGGAGTGCGGTTAGTGTTAAGGCGCCCATACACCTTACAATTATCTGCAGATTTTCTGTGGTCAGATGGAAAAAGATTGGCTCAGGTGGAGATTACTCCATCCACACAGTTAAGTGTAGATGGAGGAATCTGTTTCACCTCTTCCATCTGACCACAGAAAATCTGCAGATAATTGTAAGGTGTATGGCAAGCTTTAGTGATACGGGAGTGCGGTTAGTGATAAGGGGGTGCGGTTAGTGATAAGGGAGTGCAGTTAGTTATAAGGGAGTGTGGTTAGTGGTAAGGGGTGCGCTTAGTGTTAGTGAAAAGGGAGTGCAGTTAGTGTTAGTGATAAGGGAGTCTGGTTAGTGATAATGGAGTGCGGTTAGTGATAAGGGAATGCAGTTAGTGATAGTGATAAGGGAGTGCGGTTAGTGTTAGTAATCCAGATCCAGATTCTGGATCTAAGCAAGAAACTGGCAACACTTAGGAGCATAACAGTCATGGAAAAGAGTCTTGACATAACGCACCAGGCTGTGGAGGAGGGGGGGTCGGAGGAGCACGATCCCGAGGTGGGGAGCTGGGTCACTGTAAGAAGACGGGGGAGATAAAGCGGGAAGCTAGTCACAAACGACAAGGAGAGGGCCGAGGTGCTGAACGCTTTGTGCTAGTGATAAGGGAGTGCAGTTAGTGTTAGTGATAATGAAGTGTGGTTAGTGTTAGTAATAATGGAGTGCAGTTAGTTTTAGTTTCAATTTTATATATTAGTTGTAAGTGTGTGCAAATAAAAGTGGGTGCACTGAAGCACCCAGTGGGACAGCCAGTGGACGAACTCGATGGGAGGGTCAGTGGGTGGACTCGGTGGAACGGCCAGTGGACATGCCTATGGTGTGTTTGGGGGGGAGGGGGGCCCAGACCTAAAGCTGTGTAAGGGGCCCCAAAATTTCTGATGGCAGCCCTGGGTGGGCCAACTCAATATTGAACCCTACAGACTAAGATTGGGAAGCCATTAAAGTTCATGTGCGTGTAAAGGCAGGCGTCCCAATACTTTTGGCAATATAGTGTAGGTGATATGCCTTTTTTTACCACTGCCGTCATACTGCATTTTTGAGATGCAAATGTAACCTTGCCACAAATGTAGCAGAAGTTATCCGAGTTGTTTACACAGTTTAGAGACATTTTGGCTTCTGACGGAAAATATCAATATCCTTGGAAATGTTAGGCAATGACACTTTCACAAGCCACCAGATGTAACTGTATGTTGCGTAGACCTGACCAAGACAAATGTACCTTGAAGATACATTTATACACTTCCATGTGGTACCATTTTCATTATTCTACCGTACTTTGTCGAGAAGTTATGAGGCATCATGATCATCAAACACCTCCCTCCCTTGTAGGCAAATACACTGAGTGGCCAGATTATTATGACCACCTGACGTTTGTAGGCAAATTAGCTATAATTTCGCGCTGAAGTTGCTAGAGGGCCAGACCATTATAAATAGGGAAGCAGGTTGTTTACCACGACAGTAGAAGTGATTTTTTTTCTGAAGATATGGGTAAACAACGCAATTTAACAGCCTTTGAACGTGGGATGATTGTTGGCGCTCGAAGCCATGGAGAGAGTATCAGTAAAACAGCAGAATTCAGCAGAAGAAGAGCAGCTGTTGTTAAAGTGTTTAAAGACTGGACTGTCAGCCAAAAATCTGAGTCGGCCGGGTGCATGTGGCAGAGAGGCGGCAGAGGAAGGGAGCCATTGCACCTGCGGCCGGAGGCTTCATTTAGCGGGGGTCGGCAGGGGCCGTTTTTAAAGGCATCAGAGAGGCCCGGGGGGCAATTGCCACCCTGCCCCCCGGCCCAGTCCGCCCCTGGGACACATGAATACCCATAACTGTATACACTGTATAGGCAACTCTTTATACCTCATTTGATGCTGCCCATTCATTACTGATTATAGGAAGCAACTGACTACCTTCCTCACTAACCTGCTAGGTCTTTCAATGTAGACAAGGAACAATGGTAATGATATACAACAATGAGTTAATGGGAAACATTCTTTATGGCCTGCACAGCAATAACCACTGGATGGATGAACCCATCCCCATAGCGTATTGCAGTGGAAATTGCTAATAAACTATATAATCCCTTACAAGAAGGGCTTGTGTTGTAGGAAAAATTGTCCCCTAAACTTCACAAACAACATAAATAAAACCACTTTAACCATCTTAATCCACTACTGCATGCCCACTATGTGTTTATCTTAAGGAGTGCATTAGACCACTTGTTGGGTTGTATTTAGTGACTCAACCAAAAGTTTAAAAGTTTGTATATTCTTTTAATTATTGTTCTCATTCACTATTACATCACATATCTTTGTATAAATATAAATTGATTTTATACTTATTTGTAAAATATTGTACAACTGTTTGAGTGCAATAAACAGAGTTTAAATAGAAAATGACAGTTCCAAAGCAAAATCAAACTAACAATTCCATATTCCATATTTCCTTCCTGACAGGTTCATCAAAGACGACAAGTTCCAACAAGACATGCTAGAACTTGTTGTTCCTTTATGAGCTTAAGGGAAGCAGTTTGTGTAGCTGTACAATTTTGTTATAGAATGTCAGACTAATATCAAGAAAACTCTCCTCAACATCTGTTCCGCCACATATGTGCAGCTTTCCAGCTAAGGAACGAACACAACGCAACAAACCTAAGACATTCAAGTTAATGGCTAGATATTCATTAGCTAGATGCAAAGAAGAATGATGTTCAGCATCCAATTAGTTTTTACCTCTCATCAATTTAGTGCATTCAGAACAATAAAAGCCAATTCCTGGTTGGCTGTTATAGTTACTGTACTTTAAATGCTATTTTTCTTAAATAGAAGCTTATCTGAATTATAAAAGAGACCATAATCATTATAAAAATATGTACATACATCATCTTTCTTAAATATAGTCCATTGTAAAAAAAAATACATTTTAGAATCAATTGCATCTTAATTAAAACAATATTAACGTGACCCTGTCTGGAAGTGGAGAGCCTTACAACAGCAAGCTCCTGCATAAGAAGAACTTTATACTTACCTCCCTGGTGGGTGGTGTGTTGAAATATGACTTTCTTGATGAGCCCTGGACATAGCAAACAACTGACATTTCTGGGCATAGCGCATCCCCTCCTGCTTGCTCTGGTTTTAATTCATTGAGATATGCATTTTGATGTCCAATTTAAAAAAAAACTAATTACATATACATTACATATATTGTACGTGTACATATTTTTTAACAACTGGGGGTCTATTTATAAAGCAGTGAATGTGACTTTCACCAAACATTCTCTAGTGGAAAGTCAATCACTGCCATTTGAAACACATTGACATGGAATATTCACCTGCAGAGAATCTTTGCTGAATGTCAGATTCTCTGCTTTATAAATATGCTCTATAGTGTTTACACAATGCAAAGGTGTTATTTACTATATTACATTTTTCATAGCTATAGAACATTTAAGTAAACTTTTCATTAAGTGCTTTAATTTTTGTTTTTCAATATTGTTTTCTTATTATTACAGGCTGAATGGATTAAATAAGGCAATATTAAGAGTACAAGAATGACCTTGTCTTTAGAAGTCATCTATTGCATGTCTAATTGTCCTGTCAGTTTTTTTGCCCAGTATTTTGATGGTTGTCAACATCATTCAGGGAGGGTGTGGACTGGGCTGGGGAGCATTTTCCCCCATGTCTTCCAGCATTGACTTCCTTTGCGACTCTGAGACAAATGCTGAGCGCTACAAAAGGTGTAAGAATGTAAAACTGTGAAATGTGTTGTGCTTATTTGCTAAAGGAAGCTAAATGATAAAGATTATTTGTGAAGAAAGTATGGCATTCTATTTAGATGTGTTCATACCATTTTCAAAGATCATCTTGTGCAGCTCATAAAGTACTTAAATGTTTACAGTTTATCTCTTACAATCCCAATTTTAGCATATACTGCATATGTGAAAAAGTGTTACAATAAATCTGTTTTTTATCACAACACCCATATTTCACCATGGTCACCAATCACTGCGGCATCATGGCACACTTTATGTAGTGCACATTTAGCCACAGGAAACTGCCCGTACCAAGAAAATGCCAGCTGGTTATGTTTGCCCCATAGACCAAAAGTTTTCAATCCTCACCAGCTTTAGTTCAAACAAGTGAAAACCAGCAGCAATGACAGGACCTAAATGGTTTGGGGCTTAGCACCTCACTTGAGGTATAGTGCATAGGCTTGATTCAGATTATAGACAATAAAACATTGGGAAAAAACATTGCTATGTCCATATTGCTCTCATCAGCTCCAGTGCCAGGATCCCCAGTGCTTTAGAACTAAGCATTTTCGCTTTGAAAATTGCGGACTACTGTAGCATTTTCATAGATAAGATCTGTTGGAACCTGATTTTCATAAATATTTTCCTCTGAAGGTTGATCAATTAAGTCCAGCATACACTTGTTGAGAAATATATATTGTTCCTAGAAACAGATAAAAGACTTTGGTGAAGATGCTTATACATAAATATCTGTAAATAACTAAAATGCAAGTCACTGGGGTGGGGGGTGGAGGGGGTCTTCAGACAACACCTTTTAAAAGACCTTTCTGTAATAAAGTACAGTATCTTGGCTCCTTTCAAATGCCCGATTGATCTTTGTTTCGAGCAACCAATGACTGAATTTTCTAAACTGACCATAAGCTGCTGGATAACTTAAACATTGTTTTAAAGGGACTCTATCACCAAAACTATTTTTGAGTTAAAATAATATGAATAGTTACAGTTTGCCCTTCTAGCTCTTTAATTCTTTTGTTTTTTTACTGAAGCTTTAATAAAAATGTTTTCACAGGAATCTAAACCTCCTAGGAGTATCAAGATCCCTATCTGTGATGGTCCCCAGCTGCTGCCACCCATACGTGGCTACGGCACTTGGTTGTGTGAGCGGCTTGCAGCACAGTCTTCCACCAAAGCAGGAGTGCAGATAGCTTAGCCAGCACCAGCAGCCGCTATTGCTACATTAACTGACATCTCTCCAAGTGCTCTATAATGTTAGCTCCACTGTTGCTGGCAGGATACACAGCAGCAGCCCCTAGTACAGTGGTGGCGAACCTTGGCACTCCAGCTGTGCCAAAACGACAAATTCGAAGATGCATCTGCCTCTGGGAGTTATGTCTGTGGCTGTCAGAGCCTTGCAATGCCTCATGGGACTTGTAGTTCCAAAACAGCTGGAGTGCCAAGGTTCGCCATCACTGCCCTAGTATTTCTGCACTGAAAACGTTCTGTTGTGGTGGTGCATGTTACCGGAGCATGGGGGAACGGTTGTTGCTGGTACCTCTGGCTTCAGCTCTGTCCAGCATCTGGTTGACAGTCCCAACTCCTGGCAATCAGTGAGTTGGGTGGAATGTCAGCTCTTAGCAACCTGGGGCACCCTGGCCGGAAAGGTGGGTGACAGGCACACCTGCCGCCCCCCATGACCCCATGAGATGCCACCTGAGGCAATTGCATCAGGCTGCCTCATTATAGGGACGGCCCTGCCAGACCATTTACAAGTGCTGACTTCTGTGCCAAACTGAAATTGTTTCCAGTGTTGCTGTGCAGTTTTGCAAAATTGTTGGCCTGAAACCCATTTTGCCAGCATCCCATAAATTGAGGTCTGTGAAACATGTTCTTCTAATAAGTACATTAGTCTTACTTAAAGAAAACAACAGCAATTTGCAGCAAGATTGCAACTAAGTTGACCAAATCTTTACCCAAGAACTATCATCAAGGTGTGCCTGCTGGTACCCACAGACTTTGGAACATTTCCCCATTCACGCAATGATTATATCAGGCCTATGGGAACTTTAGGCTCTATACCACATTTTTTTAAGCAGCTAATGTGATCACAAAAACTTGTTTTATATGCCATCACCAATTCTACTTATGATAATGCTATCGTATCACCTTTTTTTTTTATTTGCTTACCTCTGTCTGCACCATTAGACCTCTGTTCATTCTCATCTTTTCCACATAGGCAAAAGTCCCAATACGATGCTCCCTCTCCATCTGCTGGATTAGGTAGTCTAAGGCTATTAAAGTTCCAGTACGACCAACTCCCGCACTATATCAAATCAAAAAGAAAAATATTACATTATAAATGTAGCTGAAATGTATTTAACATAATATTGTATATTTGTAAGCATGAAAGCATTTTCTACCTAATAAAAACTTCTTCTGCCCATTAAAATGCACCATATTAGGGCTCCCACTGACATAATAGCTGACATAATAGCAGGGAAAGTGTATGTTTTTAGTTTTTGGGGAAACAAAATTTTAGTTTGGGCGTTTGGGAACAAAACAATCACAAAGCTTGTAGAAAAATTAGGTGTATGTAGAGCCAAAAAATATTGTTTGTCAGATAGAGAATTAGAACAGCTATCTGATATTTACTGCTGTCTGTGACATATTAGAGAGATTGATTACCACTTTTTGGTCAGGCGACAACGATTCAACCAGACAAGTCAAGAAAAGCTGCAACAGGGACACAAACAGAAATTTAAAAAAGCTAGCACAGTCTACACTTACCCTACTAAAAAATAGGATTTTTTTGTACTCACTGTAAAATCATTTTCTGTTTTGTTCCTTGAAGGACACAGCGGAGATCTTGATCTCTGTATCGGTAGGACATCTCAAAGCAGTGTCCACTGAGGGACGGAACAATAACAAATTGAGTAACAAAAAACCCCAGCTCACACAAACTAAGCAGCCGTCTAAAACTTTGCGACCAAAGAAAACATCCACAGATGCAACAACATCAACTCTAAAGCAATGAAATAAAAGTGTGTGCCGACGTCCATGTAGCCACCTTACAGACTAAAGAAACAGGTGCTTGATGTGAAAAGCCCCTGAGGTGCTAACCACATGAGTAGAATAAGCTGTAACCAGAAAAGGTGGAGATTGTCCTATAAAGCATAAGCCTAAACAATAACTAGTATGCGCTAACAAGCAATGGTAGCTCTAGAAGCCTCTTCTCCTTTCTGTGGGTCATCAGTAATCACAAAAAGATAATCTGACTTATGGAAAGATTCAGTAGCAGACAAATAAACTCACACTGCGTTAACTAGGTCCAGACAGATAAATGCTATTTCTATAGGATGCGTTGAACGAGGACAAAGTGAGGGTAGAATATCCTCATCAAGATGGAAATCAGATACTGCCTTAGGAAAAAAGGAATGTTTAGAACAAAGAACTACCTAATCTTTATGGAAAATCAAAAAAAGAAGGTTTACAACATAAAGCAGCTATTATGAAACTCTCTGATATGAAAAATTCAACAAGAGATATAATAACGTATACTCTCAAAAGGAGAATTCTGTAAAACCGAGAGAATCAAATTTTAAGTCACATGGAGGCAAAAGGTGACTTAACTGGAGGAGAAACATGTAAAAAGCGTTGAATCAAGGTACATACCAAGGAATTCAAGGATAACGGATGCTGGAAAAAGATTGCCAATGCCGAAACTGGCACATAAAGCCAACGAAAGGCTAAAATCTGAGCAACTGAATAGGCATGAGAAGAAATAGTAAGCCCCTCACAACAAGAAATGCAAGCTTTCTGGGTTCAAAGTAATAATTTCCGAGAGGTAGACTTAAATGTCTTAAGCACCGCAGGGATCATATACTCAGACAGCCCTCTATCTCTTAGCACCTGGCTTTCAATAGCCACACCATTTAAGCCAGAGACTGTAAAGCAGGATGTAAGGTTGGACCTTGGGACAAAAGTTTGGTCGAAGAGGAAATCAACATGGAACGTCTACGCCTAGCCTCACTACGTCTGTGTACCAAAGGGCATCAAGGCCAACTGGAAGCCACCCGAATTACCAGTCTACTTTCGCGTCCTACTTGACATAGAAGTTGTGGAAGAAGTTTTAGAGGAGGAAAGGCATAAATTAGATTGTACCTGTCCTTTGGAGCTACCAAGGCATCTGTCACAAAGTGGCATCTGTCACATAATTCAACCACAGGGCAGTAGTATAATCTAACCCCAGGGCGGTAGTGTAATTTAACACCAAGGGCGGTATTATAATAATATTTTTTAACCCCCAGGGCGGTAGTATTAAAATTTTAAACCCCAGGGCGATAGTGTCATTTAACCCCTTGGGCGGTAGAATAAGAATTTAACCCCAGAGCGGTAGTATAATTTAACCCCAGAGCGGTAGTATAATTTAACCCGAGAGCGGTAGCATAATTTAAACCCAGCGCAGGAGTACAATTTCACCCCAGAACGGTAGTATAATTTAATCCCAGAGCGGTAGTATAATTTAACCCCAGAGCGGTAGTATAATTTAACCCCAGAGCGGTAGTAGAATTTAACCCCAGAGCGGTAGTATAATTTAAAACCCAGAGCGGTAGTAAAATTTAAACCCCAGAGCGGTAGTATAATTTAACCCCAGAGCGGTAGTATAATTTAACCCCAGACCGGTAGTATAGTTTAACCCCAGAGCGATAGTATAATTTAACCCCAGAGCGATAGTATAATTTAACCCCAGAGTGGTAGTATAATTTAAGCCCAGAGCCCAGATAGGTAGTATAATTTAAGCCCAGAGCGGTAGTATAATTTAAGCCCAGAGCGGTAGTATAATTTAACCCCAGAGCGGTAGTATAATTTAACCCCAGAGCAGTAGCATAATTTAACCCCAGAGCAGGAGTATAATTTAACCCCAGAACGGTAGTATAATTTAATCCAAGAGCGGTAGTATAATTTAACCCCAGAGCGGTAGTATAATTTAACTCCAGAGCGGTAGTATAATTTAACAACAAACTGTAGTACAAATTAACCCCAGAGCTGTATTATAATTTAACCACGAGGACTGTAGTACAATTTAACCCCAGCACTGTAGTACAATTTAACCCCAGGGTAGAAGTATAATTTAACCCTAGGGCTGTAGTATAATTTTAACCCCAGGGCTGTAGTTTATTTTAACCCCAGGGCTGTAGTGTAATTAACTCCAACTACTGAAGATAGTGTAATTGCCACTTGAGAATCATTGGCCCTAAATAAACAAATAAAATAATAAATAAATAGTCTCATATATATATTTAAAAAAAATAAAAATAAAAAATAGAGCTTGAACTTATGATGCTCGAGGAAGACTGTAACGATTCCTGCGAGCACGATGGCGTGTGTAGGATCTCAGCTGCGGAGGTAAGTGGAAATGGTTCAGGAGGGAGGTTCACGGTCACACTTTAATTCAGTGAGTGCAGTCGGAACCCCTTACACATCATACACCATTTATCCTGGAAGCATTGAGTTGGATGCGTGTTGTATATGCACACCCTCAATTGTACAGCATTGGGGCCGTGGTGTGAGTTGTAGTTCGATGCCTTAGTTGCTTCACTAGAGGCCGAACTTTGAGTCAATCTAATATGGTTGAGGAAGTAACAGTCCAGGGTATATGGTGCAGCAGTGGTGAGGAGAGAGCTAGTTAACATCACTAAGCCCAATATGAGTTACATGTAGGTGACAACATCTATGGCTAAGCAGCAATATTGGAGCAGATAGCAGAATAGCAGAGAGGATGTGATATGAGGTTTCCCCACAAGGTGGCAGCACCAACACTTCCCCTTTATATAGTATGGCAAAGATATACTTGCTGTTTGGTGAGAGTCCAGTCAGGGGAAGTGTAGCTGTTCCTTGGTGCTGGGGGGTTGCTGGAGGCTGGATAGATGGCTCACTAGGTCCAGAGGTTGGTCACAGGGTCTCTGCTCGAGATGAGGGGTCCTAATAGCTTGCTCGTCGTACTATTTTGCTAGAACGTCGAGCAAGTGTTCAGCCTCGGTTTAAATAGGCAGAGGCAATTGTTGGGGGCGGAGCCGTAGACGAGACCCGACCCGAGCGTCTCCTAGCAACGGGACGCTGCCGGGCCTCGTCCGTCGCATCACGCTGCCTGTGAGAAGGAGAGGAGGAGCGCTGCGGAACGGCCGCTCGTCGCCTAGCAACTAGACGCCGATGACGGGGCCGTCCCCGCGCTGGCCTCAGATGCCGGAACAGCCTGCGTTCCTGACAAAGACTTCGATATAGTGGGAATAGTGGAAAACCTGGTGGAGGCACGCACATGATTGGGCCACCAATATAGAGGGGTACAACCTGTTCAGGAGGGACAGATGTGGGAGAAGGGGGGGTTTGCATTTATGTTAAAAATAATCTAAATATGCATATAAGGGATGATATCACGTCAAACAGTGGGGAGGACGTGGAATCCTCATGGCTAGAACTGAATACAACGGACGTACACTCAGGAGGGAAACGGGTTTGACATGCATGATAAAACACTTAGTTCATCACAAAATATAGCCAAGTGGTTGACGGAACCCGGGATACATCAAAGACTTAGTCTACTTAATGCAAATAAAGCAGTGGGACCGGATAATCTGCACCCCAAGATACTTAAGGAACTAAGCGCGGTTATAACAAGACCATTATTCCTCATTTTTGAGGGCTCTCTAATGACTGGTAGAGTTCCGAGTGACAGGCGGAGGGCTACGGTAGTTCCAATTTTCAAAAAGGGGGCAAGATGCCAACCTGGGAATTACAGGCCAGTTAGTCTTACATCGGTAGTTTGTAAATTGTTAGAGGGAATGATTAAAGACTATTTAGTAGAATTTTTTCCGCGAAAATGGTATAGTTAATGACAATCAGCATGGGTTTAGGAAAGACCGTTCCTGTCAGACTAACCTACTGACTTTTTACGAGGGGGTAAGTAGAGATCTGGATGGAGGGAGGTCTGTGGATGTGGTATATCTGCTTTTGCTTATGATTGTTACGGCTGACACCCGTTGACTACCACAGCACGCGCTTCTTGAAGGGATTTTGCGGTCAAGAGTGCGATGGGACCATGGACTATCTGTCACAAAGTGACACAATCTGAAACAAAGTTCTGCACTTTCCGATTCAATTGGGAGGACGGAAGACCTACGTCTGGAGTCCCCCATTTCTGACAAATTTAAGAAAAAGTTCCAAATGTAGAGCCCATTCTCCTCGATCTAAGCAGTGACAACGGAGATAATCTGCCTGCCAATCAGGCAGAGGCAAGTGAGAGTGATGAATGGGATCCTATGTGAC